CAAACGGCCACAGAAAGTGGGGGGCAGCCGCATGGATCAAGGAGGTACGAGCGACCTCCATGACCAAGCCAGTGCGGCGCTAAGCAACCCCATTCTGCTGTGGAGAGGCCGGAAGCGTGAACGACTGGTGGATGCCATGTTCCGCACAGTAGGCTTCCAAGAGGTCGGAGGAGAACTCACCACCTCTGTCAGAGTGCAAGCGCAGGACAGGAAAGTCTGAGTGGAAACGCTCGCTGAGCTGGAGACGAGAAGCGCGTATCCAAGGGATCAAAACATCAGGGACCTCACCATTGGTGCGCAAGGGGAAGACCGTGGTGTAGCGCGAGTAGTCGTCAACAACTATCAGGAAGAACCTCTACTGACCCTGACCACGAACGCGGGCTGGGCCCCACACGTCCATGTGGAGCGTCTGCAAGGGAGCAGTCGTCGGGGGAAACGAGGAGGAGTGAGGAGCGGCGCGCTGCCGCCCCTCGACACAGGGAAGACAGGGAGGAGCAGGCGAGGGTGGGAGGGGAGGGAGAACCCTGGGAAGACCAGAGACAAGGTACCGTTTGTGCATGGCCCGAAGGCGCTGCACGGACGGGTGACCAAGTCGGTGGTGCCAGAGGACGGTCTCGTGCGCCAGAGAGCGACACGAGTAGGGGGCCGACAACTGACCTGACGCAGACACAGACGCAGCTACCTGAGGGGACTTAGTGGTCAGTGTGTACAGGTCCGACCCCGGCTGCCGTGTGAAGGTAGCCAGGTGACGGCCTGTCCGAGCACACGTGCAATGTGTCACTCGCTCGTAGGCAGGGGTGAACTGGTGGACACCCCCGTCCTGGAGCGCACTACCCGCCACCAAGTTCGTAGAGAACGAGGGGAGGTAGAGATTGGAGACAGTGTGCCCAACGGGACGGCCGGACAGGGGAGGACACTGGAGGAGGTCGCAAGGACTGGACCCCCAGAGGGGTCAGCGAGAGAGACTGCAACAGGCCTTGCAAGCTGCTCAAGAGCCGTGCGGTCACGAAAGAAACAGCGGGAGGCACCTGAGTCTAGTGTAAAGGTGTGCAGTGCCTCAGTCTACTCAGTACCAGGGGGCGCAGACGCACCAGCACCTAGAGCAGCAGCCTCACCAGCACCTGGGGTAGCAGACACTCTAGCACCTAGAGCGGCAGCCTCACCGGTTCGAATGCCCGGGTCGGGCGGAACACGCAGGTATTGGGCACCCTCTCCACTAATAGACATCAAATACATGGAAGAGAGAATAGCATCAAAGCCTAGAGCAAAGATATCAATGTTTTGCTTCATCAGATCAGCCCAGCGGGGCAGCTCAGTGGCGTCAGGGAACTGAGTACGCCAAGCGTCGTCGAGGCGTGAGAAGCAGCGCTGCGTGGGGTGCGCCCTCCCACACGTCTAACCAGCGCGGTCACCAGTGCGGATGACGTACGTGCAGCTAAGGCCACCCCCCCCCCCCCCCCCCGTGCTGAGCGTACCACTCACGGAGCTCCTGGGGCGACGGACAGTGCTGCAGGCTCTGGCCACCGCCAGTGCCTCCACGACCACCACTGCCGCCGCCACCTCCTCGACCACCTCCTCCCCTGCCGCCGCCGCGTCCACCGCCGCCCCCACCATCGCCCCCGCCCCTGCCACCTCCCCCGCCGCTGCCGCCACCACCCCAACCGCTGCCACTAGCCCCACCAGTCCCACCACCACCCCCACCGCCGCCACCACCCCCACCACCGCCTCCCCCGCCGTCACCTCCGCCTCCCTTGCCCCCTTTGCCCTTGCCGCTGCGGCGCCCGCTCAAAGCAGACGCAGCCCCGACCTTCTCAGAACCAAGGAGGTTGACAGCAGAAGCAGAGGCTACAGAGGGAAGAAGGGGGGAAGGGGAACACCCCTCAAAGAAAGGGGTGCGTGGGTCGCCACGAGAGGCACCTACAGCGACTATGCTAGCCTCATCTGCAAGCAGTTCCTTCTCGAGGAGGGCAATGGTGAGCTCAGTGGGGCAGCGAGCTAGGAAGTGATCCCTGACAGCACGCAGAGTGTCAGGGAGGCGGGTGACTAGGTGGTAGAGAGTGAGCCAGATCGGGGGAGGGTTCTTGGCAAGAAACTCATCGGGCATGGCGGCACGGAAGCGGGCCTCACTAGTACGGAGGTGCGTGATGAGGTCAGCGACTGTGTGGAACGAGGCCAGGTCGGGAAACAGGTAGGGGAGTGAGAGACGGCCTAGCGCGGCAGAGGCAGGTGAGGAGTAGCGGGCAACGACAGCAGTGTACAGTGCCTGTGCAGTCTTGTGCTAGCCAAAGTGCTCGCGCTCATCTATCGGCAGGGAGTTGCGAATAGCGAAGCGAGCGTGGGCGTCACGAGTCTGCCACTGTGAGCGAGCAGTGCTGTCAGCAGTAGCAGCAGGAGCAGTAGCATGGTTTAGGGCGTGATCGTATAGTGAGATGTCCTCCTTGGCAGTGAGCTGTAGGAAGAGGTGTAGGTCGTCTAGCCAGGTTTGGAACTTCACTGGGCGGCCCTCAGCATCGAAAGCTAGCACGGGAGGGCTAGCCATAGCAGTAGTAGGAGTAGCAGTAGAGTAGCAGTAGCAACAGTAGGTGCACCCTCAAAACAGTAGGCAGTGCGACTCAGGTAGGGCGGCTCGGTCCAGTACGGGCGGCGCGGCTCGGTTCGGGCTGGGCGGCTCGGTTCGGGCGGGTCGGTTCGGGTTGGGGGGCTCGGTTCGAGCTGCTCGGTTCGGGCGGCTCGTTCTGGCGGGGCCGTGGGTGTCGCGGCGGGGTGCTAAGGGGCGGCGCGAGGGTCGAGGGGGGGCCGACGGGGCCGCTAAGGGGTGGGCGCGCGCGGGGCAAACGGGGCCGATGGGGCCTCTAAGGGGGTCGCGCGCGGGGTCGACGGGGCCAGCGGGGCCGCTAAGGGACGGCGCGTGGGGTCGACGGGGCCTGCTGGGGTCTCTAAGGGGGCGGCGCGCGGGGTCGAAGGGGCCAGCGGGGCCGCTAAGGGGCGGCGCGTGGGGTCGACGGGGCCGACGGGGCCGCTAAGGGGTGGGCGCGCGCGGGGTATAGGGGGCCGACGGGGCCTCTAAGCGGGGCCAGCGGGGCCTCTAAAGGGCGGCGCGCGGGGTCGACGGGGCCTCTAAGGGGCGGCGCGCGAGTCGCTAAGGGGGGGCGGGTCGCGGGTCGCGGGGCCTTAGGGGGCCGTGAAAACGAGGCGCACGAGGGCGCTAGGGGGGGAGGCGCTCGAGGGCGCTCCGACAGTAGGGCGCACGAGGGCGCTAGTAGGCAGCAGTAGTGGTGGGCCCTAAGAATCGGTCCTAGCGGAGGACCTGCTCTGAAACCATGTTACGAAGAAGAAGGGATTGCACTATGAAAGTTGGAGTACAAGTAGGAAACCCTAGCTTTGTGTACCCCCTAAAGGCTAACCCACTATAGCCTACACAACAATAACACATATAGTGTTTAACATTAGGTTGGGTCGCATCCAGGGCCTCAGATTCACTTTTAGGGTCGTCGACCCATCAGGGTACCCTTGTGTATAAACCCTGATTGACAGTGTTTCTAAAAAAAAAAACCTGAAATATCAGGGTTCCCTTTGAAAAAAGGCTGATGTATCAGTGTTCAAAAATATAAAAGGTTGTTAATTACTAGAAACCTCTACTTCAAATACTAAGTCAGTAGCAGCCGTGTTATCATCACTGCCTTTGGCTTCTCTCCTCTCCTCAGCTTGGGACACCAGTACGTGACAGTGCTCTGCCGCAGCACACACATACACGTTGAAGCTGCAGGGGCAGGGTGTGGAGGAGGAACCGGATTGACAGGCAGGGTGAGGCAGGGAAAGAGAGAACAGGAGGGAGAGAGGGGGGAAGATTGGCACAGTTGGGGGGGAGACGACTGGGGGAGAGATGGAGTGCACGGAGTGCAGGGCAAAGGGAGCAGAGGAATGGACGGCGGGCGCGCGGGTCATGCGCGGATCATGTCGTCGCGCAGCACGACGATCTGCGCACCGCACGCGGTGCAGATGGCCTTTTCAACCGCGGTTCGTGCTGGCGACGAGGCAGCCTTCGGTTGCCGCCATTAGCACGAAAAACTACGCGTCGTCGAGTCGTAGCGGGCCTGCGACGCCGACGGGAATTGCCACATGGTCTACGACCATCTAGCAGAATGCACTGCGGATCGCGTCGAACGAGAGCGATGTGTTCGGTGAGACAAGAGGAGATTCGGCGGCGCTTGCGATGGGTTCGATTCCCGACAGCCCGCCCTTTCTGGTGCTGATGGCGCCATGAATTAGTGCAGACGAGAAAGCAAGAGAGGAATCGGGCTGAGAGGGAGAGGGAGAGAAACAGGAGGAAAAGAAACAAGAGATTGGGTTGGAGGGAATGGGAGCATCAGTGCTTGCTGGTGCAGGAACCCTCGCAGCCCTCCAGCACAACATGGTTGCCACATCCTGATTACCCTATCACTTCATGCTACAGCGTTACTGCCCAATGAAGTGCTGGCACCGCAGGAATATGAGATTCCCTGTTTTGCGGGCAAATGCACACGGAACAAGTAAGAATTGCTTTCAGTGTTAGTTTCGTTACAACGCCGTAGAATCAGTGTACTTGGGAAACGAAAGTCTGAAATTTCAGTGTGGCCTAACAAAAAAGGCTGAAAGATCAGTCCCACAAAAATCTCAACGCTGATTTTTCAGTGTAGGTAAAAAAAGGGCTGCCAAAATCAGGAATTTCAGGGTTTTTTTCCTGATATCTGAGGCCCTGGTCGCATCGTGAACAGTGGCGGGTGCAGTGTCGAAGCGAGTGTCGCGAGTGGTAACGGTTTACTGTTGGGTGCTGTTGGCGGGAACAGTGGTGTACGCGCTGAGCATGGACAAGAAGCAAGGAAAAGGAATTTTACACATGACTTGCACCCCCTTCCCCTTTTTACTGACCCAGTTCCGCTTTGCATCTCCCTTGAGACTCCTCACTGTAGCCTTACAAACTAGCATTCATATACAAGTTGACACTTCTTAGTACTGTCACTTCAGTTGTCGTGAATCAACCCATTCAAGCGCGCAATCTCTGCATCCAAGTCCAGATCTGCCATCCTCTCCTCCTCCACCTGCTGGTCCACCTGACGGGCGGCAGAGTTGCGACGTTCGCCGCCCAGCGCCACCAGCACGGTCTCCAGCTCGGCTGCAATCACCCCCATGGCCGGCCGCATGGCGCTGTGCTTGGCGGTGCAACGCAGTGCCAGATCCACCACCCTCAACACCAAATCATCCCACGCCTCCATGCGCGCGTCCTTGAGGCCTGCCACCACTGCCCTGTTGCCCAATTGACCCAGCTGCTGCTGGACCTGAAACAGAGCAGACAAGTTCCAGGTTGAGACACGCAAGTTGGTGGGCTGAGACACGCAGGTTGATGGGTTGAGACACGCAAGTTGGTGGGTTGAGACACGGAAGTTGGTGGGTTGAGACACGCAAGTTGGTGGGTTGAGACACGCAAGTCGGTGGAAAACAGAGGGCTACAGGTGGATGCGCGAGAAGGCATGAAGAGCGGAAGCACACACGGCTATGGTGGCACTCTCTCCATCTCCCCACGCACGTACCCAGCGAAGAATGTGCAGCTGCTGTCCCGCCTCCTCATCGGAGTGAGTTTCGAAAGAATTGGTGATGACGTGGCGGCCCGTAATGAGCTCAAGCATGAGAATGCCAAAGCTGCACACCACGACACCCCGTGGACAGGTGAGGAGACGAGAGGAGAGGCGAGGAAAGCATGGGACACGCCAGGAACATGATAATACCAACATAGGGGCATCAGAGGGTTGTTGCTCACCTGTAGACATCAGTGGCGGTGGTGGCCTTATTGGATGCGGCATAGGAGGGGTCCACATAGCCCGGTGTTCCCACCACTCAGCGTACTCTGCAATGCTGTGCCCTCTCCCTTCCTCACAAGCCCAAAGTCTGAAATCCTTGCCTGCTCTCATGCATCAAATGTAAAGGATATGGGCAGAGATTTATGAATTGTGAGATATACAGGTATTTGACATTCCAGCTGGCACACACATGGCAAGCAATTACTGACACGAAAAGGATGTAGGGGAAGTGATGACAATGTGGGAAAGAATGCGTGGACTGAAAATAATAAAAAAGAAGTACGTTCTTTCTGGTTGATTTATGCATTGTAAATAAAGAAGCTTACCAATGTCTTAGGGCGAAACAATAAGTGCGAACTGCACACTCAAACAACTTTGGTGTTTTATAACTTCTACATGTTGAACATTGCTTGGTTCTTCTGTCAGTGACATTGGTGCTAAGTAATATGCATGCTATGGTGCTTTGGTGCTATGTAATATGCATGCTATGGTGATTTGGTTCTAAATAATATGCATGTTATGGTGATGTGGTTCTAACTAACATGGATGCTATGGTGCTTACCAGAGACTCGGTGCCAAAAGTAATCTAATACTTACTGTAGGGCACGTTCGAAACACCGGGTTTGGTCCTTACCACTCACTCATTTCAAGAATCTAGGTGGACATGAACCCAGTGTGACATGTTATAACTCTGTGCTAACTCACTACTCAGTGCTGAGCATTACGCTCAATACTTAAGGAGCCAAACATAGCGTTTGATACTTCCCCTGGATTCAGTGGTCAATACTGAACGCATTGACCTTAGGTTTTGTCAAAGGCTCGGTGACAAAATTCCATGCTACCCAGACATTCATAAACTCTGTGTTCATTCCCATGTGCAGTGCAAATATGCAATGGCGCAGGTGTGCTTGGCTGTTCATAGAAAACACGCCGCAGATGGGAGAAAGTAGCTTCTATCTATATGCAGCATGGCTTGCCTGCATGGTGTGGTCGAGCAGGATGTTGGCGGGCTCGTGTATGCAAGGCTATTCACAGAAGAGCATGTGGCACAAGTCTGGCTGCTTGCCTGCCTCACTTGCCTGCATGGTGTGGTCGAGCAGGATGTTGGCGGGCTTGATGTCGCGGTGCACGATGCCGAAGCTGTGGAGATACTCAAAGCCGCGTGCCGCCCCCACCAGCACTCCCACCCGCTGCTCAAAGCTCAGCGGGGTCGCTGCTTCTGGAGGGCCCAGCGCATAGGAATGACGGGCAGGGGGGATGCGAACAGATGGGTGGAGAGAAGAGACCTTCAGAAGCAGGAGAGGAGGCCTGTATGAAGAGCCATACCTGCAATGTCGGATAGGTGCTGACCCCTGAACTTGAGACCAGCACTAATTCTTCTAGCACCTATCGCCCCGAAGCAACGCATGCGCGCACGAGTTGAAATGCTCACCTTTCCCGATCCATCGCGAGAGGTCGCCGTTGGGCATGAGCTCGTAGATGAGGATTTGCTCGACCCTTCTCTTGTCGGTGATGCCGATTGCGAAGCCCAGCAGCCGCACGAGGTTGGGGTGGTGCTTCGTTGCCATCTCACACACCTGCCGGGGGGGACAAGGAGCAGTACAACACACTGTAAGACACTGCTTCGTTGATTGATGGTAGTCTTGGTTGATTGATATGACATTACATGACATGACATGACATGACATGACATGACATGACATGACATGACATGACATGACATGACATGACATGACATGACATTACATGACATGACATGACATGACATTACATGACATGACATGACACCACATCACGCGCACGCACCTCGGTGTCAAAGTCGTTGGTGATGATCTTAGCTCGCTTCACAGCCCACGGCGTGGCACCATCAGTGGGAGAGACGCCGCGATACACATCACCAAAGCCTCCCATGCCAAGCAGGTTGGCCTCGGACCACCCGTTCGTTGCCTTCACCACCGCCGCCAGTGAATACTCCTGACACACCTGCGCTGCCGCCTTGCTGCTCACCAGCGCTGTGGGGAGGAGCAGAGCAGAGCAAACGCGGTAGAGCGGGGCGGGGAGGCAACGAATGCGGTGCAGAGTAAACGGCAGATTTTTTTCATCCACACCCATTCCTTCCAAGGTGAAAAGTGTTGCCGCCTTGCTCTCCTGTATCCAAATGGAAAACGTGCGTGCTGCTTGCTGGAGCGGCTGGGAGGCACGCCACACATGTGTGGTCGCTGGAATGGTCGAGAGAAAGATCCGGTGTGTATGACGACACAGAGACCTGTGACGGCAACCTCATGTTGCTCTGCTCTCACCACACATCGAGCCACACGCCAGGGGAGGGGAGCAAGGGCGGTGTGAGACGGGACGGGACGGGACGCACGTTTGTCGACGCAGTAGCAGCAGTAGAGCAGTGCAGCAAGCGCTGCAGTGATGACAGCAGCCGCCGCAGCTACAATTGCCGCGATAACGCCTGGGGGAAGCGACTTGCGCTTGTCACCTGCAAACAGAAGAGAGCACCCGAACATCTTGTTCATCGACACGTGGTTGACAAGGGATTGACAAGTGATTGACGAGTGATTGAATCAAAAGAGCAACTCGATGCTTAAAAGGAAACAGATTAGCTCCTCCTCCACCTGTCTTCCTCTCACGAGAAGAGCTCACATGTGGAGCAGAAGTCAGGGCAGGTGCGGCAGAAGCCAGAGGTTGTATTCTGAGGCACACCGCAGCTGCTGTAGCTGTCAGGGCACTTGAGACCGCTGGTGTTGGTGTCTCTGAGTATGCCAAGCCAAGGAGGGAGCGAAGGAAGGGAGGGGGTGACAAACATAGAGAGTGTTGCTTTGAGCCTCATCCTCATTCCTCCCCTCTCCTCTACCCGCATTCCTCTACCCGCATTCCTCTACCCGCATTCCTCTACCCGCATTCCTCTACCCGCATTCCTCTACCCGCATTCCTCTACCCGCATTCCTCTACCCGCATTCCTCTACCCGCATTCCTCTACCCGCATTCCTCTACCCGCATTCCTCTACTCGCATTCCTCTACCCGCATTCCTCTACTCGCATTCCTCTACCCGCATTCCTCTGCTCCGCTCGATCCCCCCTATCAGAACCTTGCACCTGGAGGGGTGAGACAACTCTTCCCCTCCCTCCTTACAGGCTCAAGTCGAACGATCGATGATGCAACCCTCGTTCCCGCCCTTCCAGCTTTACTGGAAGAGCATGTGGTTTGGTCCATTGGACCGCTTTGTGCATAGCCTCCCTTGGCTGTCCTCTTCAGAGAAAGTACCCACTGTGTGCGTGCCCGTTGTGTGCGTGCCCGTTGTGTGCGTACCATAAGGTATCAGCTACTCAACTATTGAATACTACACTTCTTTTCTCTTGTTACTTACAGGGTTGAGAGATTGCGTAACTTTCCAAGGGCTGGGGGGATGGTTCCTTCCATATAATTGAATGCAACGCTTCTGTACACATGCAAAGGCAACGCAGCGGATCACAACAAGCAAAGAAAGCAGTTATGGAGAACGAAGAGAAGCAGTTGGAAAGACTGGTTTGAAGCTGAAGCAGCTTGTTACAGCGTGAAGCATGAAGCATGACAAGGTTCCCAGCGTGCATGAGCACCAGAGACACCACGTGTCGTGGAGGGGCTATCAAAAAGGAATCACCACCTGCCATGGCACAAGCGGTTGGATATGCACCAAGTCACGATATAATTGCACCGTGCATGTGAATGCATGCTGTA